CTTGCTCAGCGGGAAGCCTGCTCCTCCCTCTCCCACTCCCCTTGCTTGTGTTCCTGCTCTCGCTCTCTCTCTCTCTGTCAAATAAATAAATAAAATCTTAAAAAATACATATATATGAAGTTTCATCAATTAGAAAGTAAAATGAATATTAGAACATTGATGCTATTGGCCTTATTTAAACACGATTTGATTTAAACAAAAAATTCTCTGGAAAAATCAAAGGTCCCTTGACAACAGTTTTTGGTGCAATTTTAGATAACTGTGGAGAAATCTAATGAAGTTAAATGAAATAAAAACCATTACAGAGTAAATTAAAAGGTTCATTGTGTTAAATAACCAAATTAGATTATATAAGCCTATCAAAAGTAAAGAACCACATCTTTTTGCCCACTCACAGCAAACATTAAAATTCTATAAATATGTCAAATGCTTAGCAAATGCTTGCTGAAGTACATAATTTTTGGAAAAGAATATTTAAGAGAATATAATCAGTATGGCTTACGCTCACACATCTGTAACCATTTACTCAAAAACTGAAGCCCATCAGAAAGGAATCTGAAATGCCATGTGATGCTTTTCCTTTAGGTATGATAAGGTGGGCTAACTTCATTTCAGCAACACCTTGCTATTTCTCTATATTAAGCATGCAATTGATAACGTATCACCCACCAAAAAGAGGTCAGCACAGCGGCCTGACTATGAAGGGTTGTTTGGTGTGTCCAGGAGGTCTCCTCTAGTATGCCTCAAATCTTTTTTTAGAAGCACACAGCATAAAAAGAAACCAAAACATATTTGGGGAGGGAGCAGTCAGAGGTGAGAATGTCAAGTTCAGCTAACACTTTCATCTGTTGACACCAGCGGTTTTACTTAAACTAAAAAATGTTTACGCTTGCCCTGTTACAGTAAAAGCTAGGTAAAAGTTCAGTCTGGAACCTCAAGAAACATATTCAAGAGAACAAAAATATTAACTTCCCTGCTTCTCAATTCAAGCCAAGCCAGAAAAAATATACAAATTGTCAGCCTCCAAATATCATAAGAGGCTGAAGAAATGAGAGATAGAATAGGGAAGTGAGGTGGGACATAAGGGACTGTTGTTTAGAGAACTCTTTATACCCAGAGAATACAAAGCTTGCAAATGAATACAAAGAAGAAAAGAGCAATAAAATCACCATTCCCATGACAAATAACTTTCATTTTCAACATTAATTTGAAGGAAAATACCAATGTCCCATAAACAAGTTGTGACCAAACATGCCAGTTTCTTTCAGCAAGTCTTTTTGATAAACATACACTTTATCACTAATCTATTATGCCCTATGCCCCAGGGAAACCCTAGAGGTTTCTGTCTTTCTGGGCCATCATTCAAATGGGACCAGGGAAGGCCAAGAGTCTTACCTAATTTCTAGTTTGTAGGATTCTTCCCTCTCCTGCCCTCTTAGAACCTCCAGAAGGGACCAATTCTCCAATCAGTATTCAGGGGTAACTGTGCACAAGTTCCCCTCCTCCATGTCCTGTGAAACCCAGTTAATAGTATCACCTCACAGTTAACAGCCTTATGATGGAAAACAGAGGAACAACTAGATGCATGCAGGAAAGTAGCCTATATCACATCTTCTCCATTTATTCTGGAACACTAAATATTTGCCCTATCACTAGGAAAAGCAACATTTTTTACCATGAAACCAGTGGGAGTGTTTACCAGTGACAGAGAGGTACTATGTTGGGCTTCTGACTTATAAATGGAAAAGTGGAAAAGAAAATGATAGTGGTAACAAAGGAAAAAAAAGAAGGAAGAATAAAAATAACACACAGTAATAAAGAGCTACTACCAATTGCCTCAGCACTACCCAAAAATTAGTTCACTCACACAGTCAACATATGCCTACCATATACCATAGGCCAGGTTACCAAGCCTGCCTTCAAAATCTAACAGAACTTCACCCCCAAAAAGAGACTACTTAAGAATATCCAGCTCAGGGGCACCTAGGTTGCTGAGCTGGTTGAGCGTCCGACTCTTGCTCAGCTCAGGTCTTGATCTCAGGGTCATGAGTTCAAGCGCCGCATTGGGCTCCACACTGGGTTGAGGGTATATAAATATACACATATAAATACAGTAAAGACAAATCATTACTCAAACTGAAAGCAAAATACAAAGAAAGCCCAAATAAGAGAATGAGTATGAAAAATTCAAATCCTAGAAGCTAATATTTAGAGCAAACTCCAAAGAACACCTCTTGTATAAGGAACAGATGCCCAAACAATTAGCTTTATTGTACCCATAAAAAAATTTCCCCAATATTGACATCCATGAAAATAACTCTCTCAGCTTGAACTAAAATGTATCTAATTACTACAAAATTTTTTAAGTTACCTTTTATATTTAATAAGGATCAAAATGCTGAAACCAAACTATAATTAACTGCTATACTGGTACCTAACGAACAGTGTCAGAGAATGACAAGTGCCTTAAGGCAGGCTGAGTAAAAACAACCAAAAGCCAAGAAATTTGAACTGCAAAGAGAAAACACTTAAGGTTCATCAGAGAAAAAGTACTTTAAACCACCATGACTCTCAGCATCTAATGAATTTTGTTGTTGCTATTAAACATTTCTTAAAACCCAAGTATCCTGGGGGCGCCTGGGTGGCTCAGTCGTTAAGCGTCTGCCTTCAGCTCAGGTCATGGTCCCAGGGTCCTGGGATCGAGCCCCACATCAGGCTCCCTGCTCGGCGGGAGGCCTGCTTCTCCCTCTCGCTCTGCCCCTGCTTGTGTTCCCTCTCTCACGTTCTCTGTGTCAAATAAATAAAACAAAATCTTAAAAAAAAAAAAAAAACCCAAGTATCCTGGATAAAAGGCACAGCATAAGGAATACAGTCAATGGTAATGTAATAGCGTTGTATGGTGACTGATGGTAGCCACACTTATGGCGAGCACAGCATAATGTATAGAGAAGTGGAATCACTATGCTGTACACCTGAAACTAATGTAATATCGTGTGTCACAGCTATGCTTTAATAAAAAATAAATAAAAATTTTTTAAAACACTCAAGTATCCTAAGTATACAGAATTGGCCTCTATTAGTCACAGACAATCCTGGACACAATTCCTGAGAAGGAGATTTCAAGGAATCCTCTACTAGAAATTTAAATATGCATATAAATAGCAAACCAAAAAAAAAAAAAAATGTAATAGCCTAAGTACCTGAAAAAATAAATGAACAAGGGAAAATGTTAACCAAGATAAGAAAATCTTCAACCAAATGTTTTGTGTGTTCTCTAGCAAGTGAACATAAGTGAGTATCTATTCTTACATAACATTAAGAGTTTTTATATTAAGGTTTTTTTAATACAAATTTTACATTAGAAAAAAACGTTTCTTACCTGAGATAGAATAGACACAAAGTTTTCTAGAATGCAACACAGCCAAATGAAGCATTTCAGTACCTCTGAAAAATGGGAAAAGTTTTAAGTTTAAATATCAATTTCAGATGTAACAAAAAAAATTATAAAATATTTTTAAAAGAGACTATAACCACAACATACCATCAGTAAACTAAAAATTTACTACATAACATTCAAAACTGAAAAATAAATGTAACAACAAACACCCACTTTGACAGTCCCAGAGGCTCAAGGACTCTGCCTCAAGGAACTAACTGCCTGAAGTCACTGGAGCCTCCCAGGAGAAGTCACATCTGAGGCCTCTTCATGAGGGCTCTCCAGTAACACCGAGATCCAAGTTCTGGCCCTGTCTCTCTGCGTAATTAACCTATGACCTTGGGCAAGTTACTTAATCTCTCTGAGCCTGTTTCCCCCTCCAGAAAATAAGAGGTTTCAATTAAATGAAATAAGATCATGTGACAGCACCACAGAATGCTAATCATTATTAGTAAATGGCATCTGTCACTTCCAGCTCAGAAATTTTATTAAAGGCACTGAAAATATTTCAGCTTGGACTAAACTGCCACTATCACCAATACACTTCTCAGCCCCTATCAAGTGGTTTCCAAGACATAACACGGTCTAGAAATCCAAGATCAGGTCAGTGGATAGAAACGAGTAAAGGGTGTAAATGGCTGTGGTCTGCTGCAGAGTAGGGCCAGACTAGAGGAAGTAACTACTACTCAGTTCTGGGCATGTGGTCAAATCTCCACATTTTTTCAAGAAAACCCAGAAAGCAGGGATTTTATGTGAAATCTCCAGTTCTTAAAAACTGGCAACTCTTTTAAATTTAAAACACATCTGCAAGCAGTCCTCCAGTGTACGACATCTGATACAGACTCTGTTTGTTCTAAACTAGAAAGACTATAAATGAAATCCGAAGACCTGGATTGGGGTCCTGACTGTGCACCTTGGTATCTGTGTAATCATTTAACCTTTCAGAGTGTTAATCTCTCATTTACAAAATAAGAATTATATTAGATAATACCTGCAAAACATCGTTATAATGAATGTAAATGCTCACCATTCACTCTACTACTAGAAAATGCAAATATATATACAACTATCACATACTCAATACTGACTTCAAAAAAATTTTGCACACTCAAAACAATTTTTCTATCATGCACAGGAAAAGAACATTATGTCGTAGAAAGATAACAGAGTATGGAGTCAGATAGACCTAGGTCTAAATCCTGGCTGTGTGACCTAAAGCTCTGAGCTCTAGCTAGTTTCCTTCTCTTTAAATACAGATCACATCTTATAGATAAGGTTAATGAGACAGTACTAGTTAGTTAATACTAGTACACTATCCACTCATTAATGTTAACCCCCTCCCTTCCAACAAGTGACCACATAGATAAAAGCTATACTTAGGACTACTGAACAGAATGATCGTGACAGCACCTCACTCTTTTAAAAAATGAAAAGATAGGGCGCCTGGGTGGCTCAGTTGGTTAAGCGACTACCTTCGGCTCAGGTCATCATCCTGGAGTCCCGGGATCGAGTCCCTCATCAGGCTCCCTGCTCAGCAGGGGGTCTGCTTCTCCCTCTGACCCTCTTCCCTCTCGTGCTCTCTATCTCTTATTCTCTCTCAAATAAATAAGTAAAATCTTTAAAAAAAAAAATGAAAAGATAAAAATGCTTTTTTTAGAGGCAAGAATCCTTCTGTCTCCTTACTTTATAAATCTATCATGCTTAATATATGCTAGGTATACAACAGGCACCTAATCATCATCTACTTTTAGATGGAGTAGATATTTACCAACCACGTCAGACACAAAATCTCTCTGATCCAGCCTATCACAGTGCATCAAAGTCCTACCTCATGCCCTGCCTATAGCATCCATGAAACACCTTCCCATCAGAATAAAACATCACTAGAAGGAGGTTAATGTTCAAGAATTGTTGTTCAGGTTTTTCTAGCAAGAGTCAAGGCCCTGAATAAATGGTAACTGTGGACAGTAAATTATGACAAACAAATGTAGTGAGTCAAAATCTAGAGCTCAGGGTACTCCCAGACTTAGGAAGGCAAAGGGAACTTTAAAAAAAAAAAAAAGGTAAGGAATAATAAGACCACCTCTATCTATATAACTTTTCACAATACATACTTTTATAATGATTAAGAAACATAGGCTCAATTTTAAGAAAATTCATGTATGAAAATAAGATAAAATCAGCAGTATCATCAGGAAATAAAAAGCAGACATATTACACAAAATGCAAACTAATAAACAGCTTCCTAAAATAAATTAATTTTAAAAATAAAGTACTTTGAAACAAAGCTCTTGTAAAAGTTAGATTTACTTTGTGGATTGAACTGGCTTCTTTTAAGAAACTAAGGACCTTTCTACACCAAATAAGTGCAGTAATTCATTTTAAAGCTTCAAAGTAATTTGTCAAATACCATAACTGCTACTTTGTCTAATTATTTAAATAAACATTTATATAACCTAGGCAATTAGTGCTTTAAGTAAGTGAATACTTTCTATTTCTTTATTTATTTTAAATAAATAAAGCTTTTAAAAGCTTATCTCTTTTCCTTTAAACTTATGATAAACTTCTGGCATGTTAGGTCTGTTACCATAAAATAAAGTCCTAAATTATTCTCATAAATCTGCAGGTTTCCATATAAAAATATATATATATTCATCCAGTACATGAGGAACACCCAGGTAACAGTAATCAGAAAATATATTTAACTCATGGATAACCTTTTTTTATTTAAGCGTCCACAAAAATGACACAGTCAGGGAATGACATACTCCAAGTAAGATAAAATGTCAGAATTAAGGAGCTATACTTACGAAACAAACTTCCCTACTTCCACTTGCAATATTGGATCTCGTAGATGCACTTCTAGAAGCAAATCTTCAGCTTGAGTTCCATCTCCTGTTTTTACAGGATGGGGGTTAAAGATTCTTAGGTATCCCATAAAGCTACCCACAATTATTTTATCTGTAGAGAGATGTTTTTAAAAGATATAAGAAGAAACAAACATTAGCAACAAAATGTCTTTGGAAATAAACTTTCTAATGTCTAAAAGAAAAATTTAAAAATTAAAACAATCAAGTGTTGCTTCATATACAAAGGCTAATCTGTCAGCGGATGACATAATTAAAATGAACTTATTTTAGGGCGCCTGGGTGGCTCAGTTGGTT